TTAAAGACATGTTTTTTGATTCAAAGCCTGATTGTAAGATGGAAAAGCATCATCGATAAGAATGGATACTATTTCATTTAATAAATGTTTTGTTTTGATACATACGTTATTCAGGTTTTTTAATCTAAAAAAAAGCGACATTAATTTCCTGACAACCTTATACTTTGATTTTTGATGTACCTTTAATGTTGATTAAAAGCTTGCCAAGTCAGACTGATTGACAGTTTGTCTTTTCTGGTCAACTAGCTTTTGAAACAGTCTTTTGATCAGTATTTATTGGTTAACAAAAACAGTGCATATTGCACTTATTACTGGTCGTCTTATTTCTTAGATTGAAGCCTGCCTTCTATAATATCTATCTTTAATTGCTGTGCCCCAGTTTGTTAGAAAAAAAAGGAAATTCTTCTATTGAAAATTATTGTTGTTGTTTTTTCAAAAACTTAACATAAGGCAGTGCAGAATGCATATTAGATTTTAATTTTTATATATTTAGAATTATAAACTGAACACAAGATTATTTGCTTAGTTGTGTAAATATCCTATTTTAACACTTTAATCCAGTCATTTCAGGGGTCTGATTTAAGGAGAGCTTGAAACTCATATTTTAGGACATGAACTTTAGATTTGGAATATTCTGGAGCCCTACAAACATCTTTACAGTTAAAACAAGAGGGAATCATCAATAGCCACAGCACTTGAAATTTTTTTAGGCAGGATTAGAATATATTAATCTATGAGACCTTTTTTTCCTTTTTATTAGCTATATTTCTGTGTGCCAGCAAATATCAAGCATGGGGCACACATATACCTGATTCAATATTAATATTCATCAGGATCTTTACCAGCCTACCCTCAAATTGAAATTCTTTTAAGCAGGATTAGAATAGATTAACCTATAAGACCTTGGGTGTGGTTAAATACATCAATCGAAAGGGTTTGACCTCCTGGGTCCAAAACTGTAATTAGATCTCAAATCAGTCAATAGGTGATGGAGTTATGAGCTAAAAAAAAGCAACAACACTTAGCTGTTCTATAAGCTGCTATGCTGCGACTAAATATTTACTTGTTGCAATTGGCAAAGTTCGATATGTTTCCTATCCTTGGTTCTTGGCACAAGAAGCTAATGCAGATCACTGGTCATTACATCATGGTCCATTTGACCATAAAGTTCAGAAGTTGGTTTATAAAAGTATAAAGTAGGCCAATATAGATTTTAATTTTGTGGCAGGAAACATATCAAACTTTACCAATTGCAACAAGTAAATATTTAGTCATGGCATAGCGGCTCATAGAGCGGCTCTGAGTGTTTTGTTTATTTTTATTTTTACAAGTACAAACTTTTAGCTTATAGCTCCATCATCTCATGACAGATTTGAGATCTAATTATAGTTTTGGACTCAGGAGGTCAAACCCTTCTGATTGATGTATTTGACCACATCAAAGGTCTTATAGGTTAATTTACTGTAATCCTGCCTTAAAGAATTTCAATTTGGTAGGCTGGTAGAGATTCTGATGAGTAATAAAATTGAATGGGGTATATGTGCACCACACGCTTGGTGTTGCTGGCACACAGAAATATAGCTAATAAAAAGGTCTCGTAGATTAATTTATTCTAATCTTGCCTATAAAAATTGTGCACCTACTCTTTGGTGGTACATATATCATTCACATATATGTGTATATTTGCCAGTTTGAAATTAAGAAAAACCTCTGTTAGTAATTAAACAAAGCATGGGAAATCATTCTTAGTATTAATTTATTAAAAACTTACACAGTAATTTGTCAGATTTTCTGTCCCAAGCAGTACTGAAGAGCTGTGATGTGGCAAAACTATAGTTTATAACAAAGGTAGTAGTGAATCAAATAATAGATTAAGCTTCTTGTTGTTCACAAGTTCTTTCTTTTCTTTTCTGAGATTACAAGTTTTAGTGAGGGAACAAAAATTCCCAAATAATTAATTTAATGATTACCGTTTGCTAATTACCTGTAATTTGAGGTTCCTGTTGATCTGAATATATTACTAGTCTATTTTTTCCAGTCGACATCAGCAGTGTACTTACTGTATTGAACTAGTGTTTTAATTTCCTTGAGTGATCCTTATTAGGACATTAATACAGAAATATGAAGAGCAAGGGGCTGGTACATACAGTAAAACAGCACTAAAATATCAGGTACTGGATGATGAAAAAAGTCACTGAAACCAGAAAATATGCAAATTTTTATCATTGAGTTTTCATTTTTGGCATTGCAGTGTATTTCAAGGAGTAAAATACTCATTATATCAAAAGTTTAACTGGAGATGAATAATCTCTTTTTCATTTGTTAGTCTCTTTTAGTGTGTTTGTTAGTTTAGTGATATTTCTAGACTCACTAATGAATGTAGCACAGTATTGTTTAACATATGTTTGTGTTTACTGGCAGAGTTCATTAAAAATACATCTAGAATTCTGTGGCATTGTTACCAATAGGCTGTTGGCATAGGCTTTAATCAAGTCCTGAAGTTAAGTGCACAGAAAAGTAATAAATACATACTTGAAACCAAAGAGACTATCAATTACTCTGTTTTTTTTTTGTGAAGTTTGTTTACTGAAAGAGTAATTATAAAGTTTTAAGAAACAGTCATGTGGATTTAATTTTGTTTGACTTAAAGTGTAGGATAAGGAACTTTGCGCATGGCTTTGTTTAGACTACTGTTGATTCTTCAGTAGTAGACAAAGTACCTGGAAAATGCATTGTAAATTGTAAATGTTGTTGTGGCTAAAAGTGATTTTAATAGGAAGGTATAACTAATTAAGGAATTATATTAATTATAATAGATCCAAAAGTTGCAGCTGGTACAAGTATGGCCTTTAAATTTTCTTCTATTCGCCGGAGCTGGTACACATATGGATTCTTACTTTTAAAATTCCTATGTGAGGTGTTTGATCATAAATTTTTATGGGAGTGTTGTCCACTGACATTGCACTACATGTTGCCATTCAGTAAGTCAATTATTTCTGCCTTCTATGTCTCAGTCTTTCTCAAGATGATGGAGAGGCCTGTACATCATCATCTTTCTACTGTGTCAGCAAGTGCCACCAAAGCTGGGAAAAACCCAGACTGTTTTATGGACTTACCAGATAGTATTGACAGTTGTACCAGCCACAATTAATGGGTTAAAAATGAATAGTGTTTCAATAAAATAGCTTAGTTTTTGAAAAAATGGTATTTAATAAACTTAATAACAATGATTAGAAATCACACTGTTCTGCAGTTTTTTTCTACACCACTCTTAATTAGTTTAATATGGAATGCAAATTATAAAAGCATGTAAAAAAGTAGCATTCTAAATTTTTTTGTTTGTTACATTCAGTAATAGAACACTTCATCTGGGCTAAACATTCTGACAGATAATAGTGTTCAAAATGCTGTCTCCTAAGCAGTACAAAACATTTACTGTTACGGTTTTAAAATGTCAAAGTCAGTGAAGTAATGGACCCAATAATGTCCAAGAAGCTTTACAGAAAAGAAATAAACTTAGAATGCTATTCTTTACATGTCTTGAATTTGAAATTCATAATGGATTAATTAAGAGAAACATAGAGGAAACAAAATCTGCATTCTAATGTGATTTCTATCCTGTTAATAGGGCTATTGGTTACATTACTTTGTTAGCTTTTGCAATTCAAAACTGTGACGTTAAACTATTGTACTTCATTGTTAGTTATCATTGCATTTGTGTATCTCAAATGAGATTTAAATAGAACATTAAAAATAGTTTTTAAAGTTGGAAAATGCTGTTTAAGAAATTATTATTTTTTGAATGTTTTAAGTGAGATATTTTGTAAATTAATTAAATACTAAAGAATACAAGTGATATTGCAGACTCTTAAATATTCAGATTTCATGTGTGGTAGACTCCAAGTTTCAGAATTCAAATTTGGCCTATGTATTTTCATTTTCTGCTTTTTTTAAGTGTATTTCTTTCCAAAATACCTGTTTTCTGCTATCCATTGCAAGGCAAAAAGCTCTCAAAACTATAGATATAGATAAACATTCATCTGCCTACTTCATTATGTATCCAGATGCTTGATTTTTTCCAGACAAAACATTCAAATTTGATGCTTTTACCATTAGAGCCATATATAATTAAAGATGTATCCTAAAGAAATGAAACTTGTTAGATTTGGAAGTTTAATTCAAAAAAATTATCAGTAAAATTGAGATTAAAACAGCTGATGTTTTTGTTTATCTTTTGTTTGAGAAGTTTGTGCATGTTCACAAAATTGAATGACAAACTTACTGATAATTTAAGGTGTCATCATTGTTGTGATATGACTGTAAGCCTTCTGTATTTATTTATTTGCTGTCAAAATGTTTAGGATATCTGTTAGAATATTTTGAAAGTCAACTACCAACAATTAAACAGTTATATGTAGAGAAATGTACTATAGTGGATCACTCTACTACAGCATTACTAGTTGCATATGACAGGAAAAGTTAATTCCTCTGATTGAAATGTTATTGAGGGATTACGAAAGAAAAAAAGAAACACTAATTATTCTGAACTTTAAAAACCCTAAGTCGATTCAAGCTTTGAAATTATTTCTTGAATGTTTATTTAACGTTAAGAAAGTTAAGCCTTGCAGTGATGTTTTAAAGTTCTCTGTTACCTTTTTTGCTGTTCTCGGGTGTGGAGAATGAGAATGCTAGGGTGCGGCCTGGTGGTTAGATCATTCGTTTTTTAATTTCATTAATTTATTGGTTGCATGCCCTCATTGTATCAACATTTCAATTGTAATGTTGTAAAATATATTTCTTTTTTTTATAGTGTTTATGTCAAGTCATTTTGACCTATACATTTTTCTTAGGATTTTAGAATTTGTTTTACAAAAAATATTTTAAAAGGTTTTTGGTACAATTAAAAATGGATCTTTAAATTTTGAGTTTGGTTAAGTATATAATTGCCATCATTGTGTTATTTTAAATTACAAATTGTATGTATGAATAAGATTGTTTGTACATAATTTTTTTCTGTTCACATTTTTGGTTGTACTTCTATAGGTTGTTTTGGAAAAAAAATATATTATGAAAGTAATGAATCAGATACTGCAATTATTGTGACAAAGGTATGAATGATCACCTTTCATATGAAATAAACAATACTTTGCTAAACAAATGCACACATTTAAAAATACTAACCCTTGATGCACTCAGTTTTCAGATTAATAAAAAAAATGGTACTATTAACATATTTTGCTTTGTTCCAGTTTTTTATTCTAACTTTATTTAATATTTAAAAGTAAATAAAGTTGAATTCAAAATTTTAATTTTTGTGTTATATATTAACCATTTTGAGATTGTAGTTTTTAAAATATTATACTTTTTATGTTTTTATAACAGAATGGACAGAGACGTCGCACACCTGGAGGTGTGTTTTTGCAGTTACTGAAAAATGACAATGATATTACCAAGAAGCAAAAAGATGAAATATTCATAGATGACAGAAGAGAAAAAGAAATAAAAAAAAGGGAAATAAAAAGAGCACAAAGAAGAAGGAGAGCAGAAAAACTTAAAACTGCACGTGGTAAGATTGACATCAGTAATATAGGATTTCTGTTAAATGTGCTATTTTACCAAAGCCAAGCAGCTGTATGTTTGTAACTGGGCAAAATTAAATTAAAATAGTAGCATTTTTCTAATTTTATATATCTCATTTGTGTTCAGCTTGTGATGAACTTAAAATGAATGTATTCACATTTGTTATTACTGTGATTATTTCTATAATATTAGTGAAAGTATTTAGAGATAAAAGTGAAGACAGAAAAATAGATTCCCCATTTTGTTTTTTTGGTTTTTTTTCATTTAAAAGGATAAAATGCTATGTTACATATTTTGCCTAATATAAGAAAGTGATGTGAAAAGATGGTAGTACAGAAATTATTTTTTTTTTACGAAAACTACAGAATCAGTAATTACCAAAATCTTATTTTGAGGAGAAAATATAATACATTTAAAATAGTGCCAAGCTATCACTACAAGGTAGGAAGAATTGGACAGTAACTATAATACAAAAATCTTGCTATATTTCTGTGAAAGAATGAAGAAATCTCACATTAATACAAAGTTGTGCTTATATTATAGAAAAAAAATTACCTGTCTGTACAAATTTTCACATTGTGTATTCAGTACACTTTTTTTACATCTATATTTCAGCTAAACATGACAGCAGGTGTTTTAACACTAAATTATACAGTTACTGCCAGTCAAAGTTCTCTGCTTTCTCTGTCAGTTTTTCTTGTGTATCTCATGACAGCCTGTTTCTCAGCTGCATATTGGCAAGACCAGTCTTAGGTTAGCCAGACCTGTTAATAGTTCACTTGAATTGGGCAGCCTGTGTACACATTTTTTATTATCTAGTATGTTGCCACTAACTGGAAGACAATTTTTGGTTACCTATGTGTAAGTGGCACACATTTTTAAAACCCTTGTGCAACCTCTGTAATACTAAAAAACAGTCTTTTAAACTTATCTGTCTTATTTTTTTATTACATGATAAATCCTGATAAATTTTCAAACAATATTCAATGTTTTATTTTAACTGTTCATTAAACACCTTGTTTTCAGCTGTAATTGTTCATTTGCTTGTATTAAAGTAGTCTAAATCCAAAAAACAATTTATATCACTGAGTTAAACTGCTTATGTCTTACCCAATTAGTCTTCTCACCAAAGGGAATGAACCTATTGTTAGGGAAAGAATTACCTTAAAGCCACAGGCATAGGTTTACTGAAGTGACTGAGTAATCACGAACTTTTTTTTAATATTCTCATTGTTTACTTATGTGAATTAATAGTTGTGACCTCAAAAGAATGTGTGAAAGGAACATCTCTAAAACTTTCTCAGAACGATTTAAGTGAACAATAGTTCCTCATACTTTTTGGCCATTCCTTTTTTTTGTCTCGTACAAACAGCAGTTCCCAAAAAAACTTTAATTTCTAATCACCACTTGATCTCATCTGCCTAAAGAAGGTCCTAAGTAAGGAAAGGGTTAAATTCCTTTATATAAAACATCATTAGTATGAATATACACCTTTTTTGCTACATTCTCACTAGTATTTAATGACCACAGTCTGCTTTGTTAATTTTTATAATCCTTTAGCAAACACTTAACAGTTATTAACTCGGATATTAATGAATGTCATTACTTTTAACTCTTTAAACCATAATTTTTTGCACATTCTGCCAGAATTATTTTCATGATTTTCTAATAATTATCACCTTACCTTATGAAATATCTGGTGTATTTATAAAGGGTTTGAATTAGTTTTCAGCCAGAGAGACATAAATGTTATCGGACATTGCCACTATCCAAAGGGTAAATAAGGATTTTCAGCCAGATGCTAGTGGCGTCCACTTGGGTTTAAGAAGTTAATGAAAGATTTTGCATAAATTGTGCACAAAAATGTTCATTAGAACCCTAAAAGCAACTATAATACATTCTGTAGGATATGCTAGAAGAAAGTATATTATTCAGTAATATATATATTTCATTAAGTAATTATAAAATAAAACAATACAGCTCACATATACTAGCATGTTGTAAAGGTAAACTTTCAGCCCTTCAGGAGTTTTATCATAGTATGCTAGCACATTCTCCCACAAAAGTTTCTCATAATTCAGTGATGGAGAGCAGTTTTGTAATTTTATGTTTTACAAGCAGCCTCTACGTGTTAGTTAACAGTAACCAGCAGTTATACATGTGAACTTGTAACTCTATTTTTGTAGAACTATCAATAATAAGCTTTGTAGTAATAATCATAGATGTATTTTCTTGAAGTCTTCTATAGAAAAATATATATTTTGCAATATTCACTTAATGAATGTAGGATAGTAATGTCTCAAAATTAAAGTTTTTGTGAAACATTGTATTTTCACAATTTGGTCTAGAGAACTTTAGCTTTCACTCAGAGCTATATCTCCACTTAATTATCCTTTTTTCTTTATACATATAGAACTAATTAACATTATTATAATTTTAGCACGTGTGTGTATGTATATTGTGAATGTAAACTTATTACTCCTTTAGGAATTTTATAATTATATGCAAGCTCATTATCTACAAAATTTGAATGTTTTTATGCTTTAAAATTAAACTAGTTACCTTTGCACTTTTATTTATTAATATTTTTCTTATTTCATTTAGGAGTTACATGATCTAATATTTTTTTATGTTTTATCAATAGTTACCACATATTTAAGTGTTCTGTACTTCAGCTGCTTTACATAGACATAGACTTTAGTGCTTGTATTATGATGAAAACAGTGTCAGGTATACACTTTTGTTAAAGGCAGAAGCCACAACGTAGTACACTTATGATAGTGGTTATGTTCAGAGAGTTGAATTATAAAAAACAGTTTGCAGATTTAAATGCAGTTTGTAAATATATAAAAATAAACTGTTTACACAACCTTTTAAAGCTAAAGATACATTTTAATTTAAAGTAATAAACTTATTTTAATTTTTGTCTGTAAATATATGATCTGTAGAAACAAAAATTAAATTATTTCAAAGGATCTAAGCAAGATGTCTTAGTTTTTGTTTAAAAGCTATGTGTCATCAGTCATTAATAAAATATTAGGTATGCTTATCAGTGGAAAAGGTATTTCTTATAAAAACAATTGTTTGTTATGGTTTGAATGCCTTTTCTAAGCTGTCAAAAAATGATTGATATTAATTATACTTGTCATAAGACATTAGTATGAGGCATATTATGTTTTCCAAAACTCCTCTCACACTGCAGCTATTACTCAACTGATAGGGTTGGATTTCCTTCCTTTGCCCATCTAGGCATTGGTATGAATTTTTCTCACTTTCTCCAGTCTTTTATTCCCCAATTAATGATCCTTGGCAATATCTGTCACGTGACACTCTCCACCTATGTCAATGCGTCCTCTATCCTGGTACTGTATATAAGAATCTCATTCAGATAATATTATCACTTTCTCAACAAAGTGTTCACTAACAGGTTTCTCTGTACTATGACCATTGAAGATACTTTGAATGTTCTTTGTGTTACCTAGTTGATTTTCGTTAAAATTTTTTTTTTTTTTCAGTTTGGCAAACTGATATACAGCATGAATTCCCAGATTATTGTTTCTGGCACAGAGGCAAATCAGGTTTATCCTATCCTCTGATACCTAGCATTGCTCAATGATCAGGAGGGTTCACTTTCATTTGAGATTGTCAGTGACCTTATTCGTGGTGAGATGGAGACATATATTCAGTCCAGTGGTGTTTCTCCAGGTGGCTCTGAGACTGCATTTGAGGGTAATTCTGGAGAGAACTTAGATTTGCATTTTTCTGCACATTCGTTTATTCTGTTGGCTTCTCAGGAGGCCACTTTGGGATCAGCCTCCTCTGGCTCCTTCAGTTGGTCCATCGTGTGTGGGATGTTTTGAGCCTTTTCTCAGTTGCTTTTGAGCCTGCACCTTCCTTGATGGCTGAAAGGTCTGAGAGCAAATATTTAGTTCTCCCTCCGTCCACTGATATTGCTGTTCATGCTCAGTTACGTGAAGGGGCAGCTATGCCTTGTCTACCACGGTTGTTTTGGAACTATGTGTTTTAGCCTACCACTGCTAAGTGGATGTGTATTCAAACTCTCAAGAATACACCTGCTCCTGGAAATGTGGGGTTCTAGAACAGTCTGTAGTCAACCTGAATAGATCAAAACTTCCTAGGATTCATCTCCCCTTACATACGGTGCTAAGATATTTATTATCCCTCCAACTTTTATTGGAAGACTCTTGGTATCACTGTGTCAATTTGATGATGAGTTGGGGCCATTGTTAGCATGTACATTGATTCAATAGAATAGATTCTATCCATATCCGTAAGGTTCCTCTGCATGGTTGGAACACCACCAGCAGTGGCAGTGACTATTGTATGCTTTTGAGGTCTGTGGGGGCTCGGCTCCGAGAATTTCTGGACGTTTGGACCACGGATCCATGGCCATTACAGGTCCTTGAGTCAGGATTAGTCATTCAGTTCACATCTTCACCACCATTATCCACCCAACCTGTAGTGTTTCTGCCTCCTGCGGATACTTGGATTTCAGAACTTTGTTCTGAGGCTATCAGAGTTTTGTTGGTGTAGGGGGCAGTGAAGTGAGTCATGCCAGTTCTTCCAGGATTTTATTCCCATCTGTTTGTTGTGCCCAAGAAGACAGGAGATTGATGTCCAGTCATCGATCTTACTTGTCTATAACAATTCCTAGATCCTCCGAGTTTCACAATGGAGTCATTCCTCACTCTCTATTGACATTTTTTTTACTAGGATTGTGGATGTCCAAGTTTTATATTGGCAACTCCTATCTCCACATTTTCATAGTGGCAGCATTCTGCCACTATCTGTGTTTTGTGCACAAGAGTCAGGTGCTGCTGTACAGGGCTCTACTCTTCGTACTAGCATTGGCACCATATGTGTTTTGCTGAATCATACAAGATTTTTCTAGTCACCTCCTTTCCCTAGGCCTATGCACACACACCATTCCATGGGCAACTGGTTACTGTTGGCACCATCTCATCAGTTGGCAGAACATCACACCCCGATTCTACTTTCAGAAGCAACCAAGGCAAACTCCATTATCAGAGCTGAGAAATCTATTCTCACTCCAACACAAGATATTGTCTGTCTGGGAAATTTTTTCAACATGCATCTCAATCAGGCTCAGCCAACTCTCATCTGGCTCCAAGTTATGGAATAGCCAGTCAAACTCTTACTCACTTCTTCTCTCACTGCATGGATGGTCCTTTCTCTTTTGGGGATGTAGGCATCACTCAAATCCTTCATTTCATTGGGAGGAGTGCACTATATATCTCTTCAGCTGTCTTTATGCAATTAATGGATCATGAACAACAATTTACTGGATTCCCCAGTTTTCTTATTCAGGATCTTCTTCAATCTTGAGTGGTGATTAGGTCAGAACAATATTACAATAGGTGTTTCTCTGCTGCCACCTCATTCAGAGATCCATCTCTTCACAGATTCCTTGCTTCAGGGAATGGGGTGCATATCTCAATGGTCAGGAATTCCAGGGCCTATAGATGGATGACGAGGCTTCCCTACATATCAGTGAATTAGAACTTCTTGCTATTCAAAGGGCGATGTCTCACAGTCTGGACTTATTAAGGGGAAAATCATCAGGCTTCACTTTGACAATTCCATGGAGGAGTATCTTACATTTCCTGTCAAGTGGGCACTTGGTCCAGGTCTCTTTGTTTTCAAACCTTGGATCTTCTTTCTTGGGACCACTCCTATCATATCACCCTACTAGCTTGCCATGTTCCGGAGGTGATTAATTTGGTGGCAGGTGAATTGTCTCAACCCAAATAGACTCTCCTGATAGAATGGATGCTGCATTGCAAGGTTTTATGTTGGATTTGCTCTCAGTTCAGAACACTAATAACTATGTTGGACACTCATTGGAACAACCAACTACTGGCATTTTGGTTTCTGGTACCTCACTTTTGAGCATTGGCAATAGATGCATTCAGTCAGTATGAGATGGAATTACATCTCTAGGCTTTTCCACCGATTTGTATGTTACCCAAAGTACTAGCTAGGCCTATGCACACACACCATTCCTATTTTAGCCGGATTGGTGGCTAAACCCTGGTTTCCACCTCTACAGTAACTTCAGATAATGCTCACCTCTTCCACTTCCTCTTTGGTCATCTCTGTTGAGGGAGCTACGATCCAACATCATACATCCAGCTATCCTGAAGCTCAGGCTTAATGCCTGGAGGTTATGCGGTCCTTTGCACAGCATCAGGGTTTAACTTCTAAAGATGCCATGTATCTGTCTCAGTCCTTGCATAGTCCCACGATGGACTTTTATCAACAGAAATGGCACTTGTGTCAGCAATGGAGTATTGAGAGGACATTGAACCCACTTTGACCAGAAGTGCCAACCTTAGTTAATTTTTTAGCCTGGCTCCTTGACAAGGGTTTTGCATCTTTCACAACTGTCTTATATAAGATATTCAAGACAAATTATTTATGTCCCCAGTGTTCTTCTGCCTTCTGAAGTCATTTCGGGTCCTTTGTTCCAAACAACCGTTTCATTACCTAACTGGTATATTATGGTGGTATTACATGCTCTTTCTAAACATTATTTTGTGACCTTAGCTTCATGTACCATGTACCACCTTTTCTTTAACGTTTAATTTTTGTTGCTGCTGGCCTGCAGATGTTGCCGGTTTGAATTGTTTGCACTGCTTGTGCACAGGATGCTTTATCATTCTACATACATCCTCCTATACTCTAGACATGTTCTTCTTCCTAAAGACACTGGTAGCCAGGGAAGGGGATAAATCCTTTTCACTGATTCATCTAACCACTATTTCTCACTTCTATGACTGATCAGGTCCTTCTTGTCCCTGCCAATATTTGGATTGAATAAATCAGGGTCGGTTTACTTATAAAAAATTTTAGGGAATTTGGTTCATCTATTGCACTGTTTCCAGAGCATTGTTCCTCGGGACTTGCCAATGTGCATTACTTCCTCGTTTCCTACTAGTGGTGCCAGGGAGTCCTTACCATACCCAGTTTCCAGTCACTGGGGTGGTGGACAGAGGCTATTCCTCCAGTATTCAAGTGACTTTCCTCCACTCTTCGAGAAGAGGGCAAAGTTGGGGGCCCTCCTACCCATATCCATGGATATTTTTTCACAGATGTTGGTAGGAGAGGCACCAGCCTGTGCAGGAGTCTAATCCTAATACTTGTTCTGCTATCCAGTTTGGTTGAACGTGGCCCTTCTTTTTGTTTAATATCAGTTCAGTACATTGTTCGTGGCAGATGGTCCCCATAATGCAGAGTGGTCCCATCCTGGGTCCTTGGTTGAGCACAATTTTGTTCCACATCCTCCCCATAATTCTGGGGCAAGTGGAATTTACCTTACCCACATGGTTGGGGAGTGAGGATGAGTGTTCATAATTCCAGACTGGATGAGTAATGTTTCCTCAGTTTGAGTATAGCATACAGGATTCTGTCATTCCAAGTTTGGAGTGTCGCCTTTTGGACTTCTGTTTGAGGAGAAGGTTTATCCGCTTTGGTGTTGCATACCTTCTCGTCGTGACTCCAGTGGCTTGGAATGCATCACTCTATAGCTACAGGTTGGGATCCACTCTTAAATAAACATATATATATTGCAGTCCAAATGCTTTAGCCACCAATGTGGGAATAAGGAACCATGGCCCTATAATTCCAAGTCTTAGCAGTGGGACCTAGATCTTTCTGATTGAGGTCTGACCTACAGTAATGACAGATCACATCAAATTCCACCCAAATGGCACAATTTTGGTTCTGGGTGAAGAACATACCTGTTCCGGGTGTAGTGTGGTTCTCCTACTAGAGTGCTAAGCTTCTATTGGTATACCCACAATCTATGCAGATGCATTTTGTATAGATAATGCCCTCACTGGCCTCTCCACCTTATCAATATGGAATTCTAGCTGTAGTGCAAGAGGAGATAAGTATGTTTTGGAAGTTAACATTTTCTTACAATCTCCTGACCTTCCTCCCCACTAAGAACTGGTGTTAGAGACTGCAGATTGGGTCAGTCTCAAAAAGTGATAATATTATCTGAACGAGGTGTTTATATACAGAACCAGGATAGAGGACGCATTGACATAGGTGGAGAGTGTCACGTGACAGATATCGCCAGGGGCAATTAAGTGGGGAGACTGGAGAAAGTGAGAAAAATTCAAACCAGTGCTTAGATGGGCAAAGGAAGGAAATCCTAGCTGTTGAGTAACAGCTGTAGTGTGAGAGAAGATGAGTATTATTGGAAATATATTTTGGATTTAATAAAATGTTTAACTTTCAATACTTTATTTGGTGACATATTTTTTTTAAAGAAGTAGAAGAGTGTATAATATCTCAACCACGCTATGTCCATCCTATCCATTGCTGATCAACACATTTTGTTCAATACAGAGCTCCTTAGGTGAGCTGGGATACAACAAATACAGGAGTGGTCTTATGACAAATATAATTAATTTTTTATAATAATGTTTTGCCAGCTTATAAAAGGCTTTCACATGGTTATATGAATAGTGATTCAACCACTGCTGTGTTTGATTTACCCCAACCAGCCTGATGAGCTCTGCATTGAGTGAAATGCATTGTCAACAATGGATATTGATGGCCTATTATACATTCATCTTCTTAATAATAGGTCTAATAGTAATGTTTTATGACAAGTATAATTAGGGTTTACTAATACTTTTAATTTGGTGCCAAATATGGATTATACTATGCAAGTCTACAAGGACATCTGGCAGATTTTAATAAAAAAACTAAAATCATTAGGTCATGTTTGAAGGTCTGAAAATACTAGAAAATAATTTTTTAAAGGTTGTCACATTGGCTCTATTTCTTTCAGAAAAAATGGAAATTGAGAATAGCTTACAAGAGTTAAAACCTCTTCCATGTGTGGAGGAGCTAGCTGTGAAGAGGTCAAATTTGGATTGTTTTGACACAGAAATTAAAACTGGAATCAAGAGTGATTTACAGTCAGCAGTGAAAGAAGAACCACACATAGAAATCAAAGAAGAAGAGCTAGAAGAAGGAGAAATCATTGACTGAGCTATTGTGTGTAAAATCCAAATTGAGATTCAGAGTACTGGTGTGGTACCAGCATATTTTAGTTTATGATGACTGTTAGTATGAAAATTAACATGACGTGGTAGAAGGAAGGATATCCTAAAAGTTGAAACATATACTTTTGATTTTAAAGGTTAATATTACTAAAGGAAAAGTAGCTGATTAAACAACAGTATTAAAACTGCCACTTCAAACAAAAAATGGTGAAAGAAGAAAATAAGATGTCTTGTGTTATGCAAAGCTCAATGATTTTGCATTTGGAAGTGTTTAGTATCCTTGTCATGCTTCATGAAAGAGAACTGTTCAGAGCAGTAAGGTCATTTTCAGGAATTTGGTATTTACTCTTGAGTACGTATTTTAGGTTTTGCCTTTATTAGGGCTACAAATATAAAAGTTGCTTCATACTTTTAGATTGTATGTTAAGAAGTATGGTACTTTCATGTTGTAAATTTTAATTAAATTAATACTGATCTTTACTAAAATAACCTAAAATTAAAAATGTGCTAAGACTGGGATACATTTTTCAACCAGTAATCTTTGTTTTTAGTTTTTTTCCCCACTATGGCATAAACCTAATTTGGTATCAGACATTATCTATGCTGTTGCAGTACCTGTGTGTTAGTTTTTTGTAGCAGTTAAGTTCTAATTAAATATTCACAGCTCAAATGATTGTTTGTTGAACAAAATAATCTTGAACTGTATATGTAGCAGTTTCTAATAATAATATAAAAGGAGCTATGAAATCTTGTACACCTACTGAGAATTAAAGCAATGAAAGAAATGCAATGTGTAAATAAAGTTATGAGCATCTTTTTTTACATAAATATAACTACACACATGTAAAACACCAAATAATGTTATCAAATTCCAAAACTCAAATTTAGTTTCTAGTATTAAGGATTTATAAGTTAGAAAATCTTTTCACACAATATTAATTAATTGAAATTTCTAACAAAGACATTGAAGTCTTAGCCAGAAAATATTTTGTATTGATAATTCAGCATTTCATCTTATCAGCTATTAGTCTACCCAATTATATATACTTTAAGATTTTTTAGGTAATGATGATTTAAAGTTTGAGAAAATAGGCCATGAAGTTGAGCATTCTGGGAGGAAGTCTTTGTAAGTGGATCAAAAATTGACATTTATTTTTAACTGGTTCACTGCTGTGAATGTATTTCTTTTCCTATTTGATGTAAAAATTGTAAGTGGGTATTAATAGAAAATATGAACCTCTGTTTTACAGAAGGTGCATGGGTTTGACCATTGGAATGACCTTCTATTGGAGAAGGATCGTTGATTACAATTTTGAATTTACTGTGTGTATCTATATGACATACAAGCTTTTAGTAAAAATATACATAAAAAATCAAATGTGTTACAAAAGTATTTGTACTCAAGATATGTCTGTGAACTGACAATATCAGTCTGAGAAGACGGAGTACAAGATGTCCAGGTAAAGAATGAAAATACTTTTGTCCATCATACAGTTTGCATATTGCAGTCATATAGCCTCTAAAACCTCCAAAATGCATAACTAGTTTTTCGGTATCTCTGTGTATTGTATCTGGTACTTAATCTTCTGTACTACAAACTGTTGATAAATCAGTAATGGTAAAATGAATAGTTGATAACTCTGAAATGAAATACATAATATATTGTTCAATGACATTGTGTAGAAGGTCATAACAGTACAATTTGACCCTACCCATGCTTATAGGGTTAACAGGATGAAATCTGTTATGATACTCTACATAAAGGTACATTTATAACTTGCTTGTAAGATTAAATTTTAATCATAGTATGCAGGGTTTAAACATGTTTCAGTATATATGTTTGTATAACAATGACACAGTTTATAATGCAAAATATAGTTGAAAACTTAAGATATTCAATGGTCTTTGTATAGGTTTACTATTACTATGCAAAGTGAATGGTTAACCATCATATAATATTCAAAATGTATTTATTATTAACTTTTGTGTAATATATATATATATAATAATAGTCTATAGATAAGCAGTGAGTTTATAAATGCTTATCTTTATAATTTTGTGAGATTCAAAATATAAAATATAATTACCTAGTAAATTCAATATACAAATTTCATTGAATTTGACTGTTGAGAAAAAGTGGGAGGTTGATTCATTTTAGAAGAAGTCCAAATTTAATGTAATAGAAAAGGTAAAATATTACCATTAATAACTGCATTTAATAGGTGATGTTTTAGCTTACTGCCCTATTTTTCATATCTAACAACAGCTGCAAATCTAAATCTTAAATTATTATGTAGTAAATATTAAGAGTATTTAAATTTTTCTGTTTGTGCTGATTCAGTTCACTGAATCATAAGCAGGTGAGGAATAGGTATTAACATGTTCATAAAATATGGGAAATCCCAGAAACACTGGCTGGAATCCCATTTTGTGATACCTTTCATTACAAATACTTTTGTTTTAGTTTTCTTTTCTTTTTTTTTTCAAGTGTAAAATACATAGGAATAAAAAGGATTGTTATCTCAGAAGGTGGAATATAGAAAATGGTACCTACAGAATCCCATTCTGATAAAGTTTGGCTGATAAGTGACTCCCAAAGGTTTTTGGCATCCCGTGTACAAGATGTTCTAAAAAAAAAGTGGGGGTATTTAAACTCAAACATGATAATGATGAGTTTTTTAACTAGGTTGGAATGGACTCGAAAGCAGTACTTACATCATGTGCATGCAACCCAACTGACTTGAGACTAGAGCCTGAAGTGCAGTATATTTTACAACAAAGTAATATGATGTGTAATATTCAGTAAAAGGCATTATGATAAGTCAAAACATAAAATGATCTTCACAAAATGATTTGGTCATACGGTGTTTTGACACTAAGATTCTTACCAGTAAGCTATACCAGACCTTACTGTCTTGCTTTCACCTCTGTAGATTATAAATTTGGCAGAAAAAATAAATATTTTAACATAAAAAGAATAAGCCGTATAAAAATTAGTGGAGCTATGAAGATTTTTTGGCACTAGTATTTTAGTTTTTGTTAAGTGATTTCCTCTCTGAATTCCTACAACATTCAAATACAAAGTTTGGCACTTTTGTATATGTTTTGTTTTTCACTCTGATTATTTTGCAGTTTAATTTCAGTTTTTGAATTATTTGAAGTAGATAATAGCGGTGTCTTAGACTGAAATTAAGTTTATTTATAGTGCTTGTGCAAAATTGTTTTCTGTAGATTACCTGAGATAATCATTTTGTGCACATGTTTTGAACTGTAAATATTTATGGTAATGTTAATAAACTGGTTTAACAGAATTTTTCAGTTGATTTAGTCAACCATAAAATTGAAAAGGACACTTAATCAACCTGAATATTTTCCTGCTTTTTATATTATAAAAACATTATAACTGTTTCATGTTGTTGGTTTGACATGACAGTACACTGTCAAGAATGAAAATACTGTTAGCACATATTTTTAAAATCTACATTTGTAACTTTTGACTTAAATAGCATCAGATTCTTACATCTTGTAAATCAGTGGTGGGCAACCCACAGGTCACATGTAGTCCCCTAAGAGTCAACTTGCATCTTAAAATGTATGATACAAAGCACATTTTTCTTCAGATACATAGTTTTTAATGGCTTATGATTGGTAAAGGGGATCTTGGGGCCCTTGACGGTTTGAAAGTTAGGGCTCTGCAAATACACATGGTTGATCATGATATTTTTCTTGCCTTTACAATGCTTGATACAGTGACACTATATCAATGTTTTTTTATTTTTTTTTAGTAAAGAGTGATTGCTAACATAATCATGATTAGGCATTCATTTATGTCAATACTAATAATTAAAGAATTGAGGAGAAAAACAAAGACAAAAATGTAGAATTTTTTTATTTTTTCTTCAATTCTGTAATTATGGAGTTTCACCAAGTACCAATAATTTCAAGTATCACTTATGTAGAATATTAATCAGTAGTATCCTAGCAGCTTCACTTGCCAAATACTGTATGTAACTAAGGCAGTTTTTGTGTAGCTATTGAAAGTTGAGAAGAGGTGAATTATCTCCTCATAATTTCATATGTGGGCTTGGTCAAAATTACCAACCTTGTAACTACCTAGTGTTTTCTTCTGTTGGTCCCAATAAAACTTGGCTCTAATTTTTTGTAACATAATTTTTTATTCCTTACAAATATGCAATTTATAACACAAAATAATAAGATTCACAATTTAAAAAATTTCCTATAACTATTATGATTTATCTGTTTTTTTAACTAAACTATTATTAGTGCCATAAAATAATTCACTTAATTGGTCAATGTGAACTGGGCTATATCAACAATGTATCTGTATGGCAGATAATTCAATTACCGTCATCAAAATGAGTTAGCCTTATATAGAAATACATAAATTAAAACATTATTTCTCAATTTTTATAAATAATCCTAGAAAAAAAATGTCAGAGAGAATTATTAACATTTTGTGAGAGACGGGGGGGGGGGTGATAGGTAACTTATGAGGACGTAATTTATCTTAAACTCGGGTCATTATATAGGGGTGGTGAGAAAATTAAAAATGAGAAATTTGTAGTGAAGAAATGTCACATGATACAGATAAATAATAATTTATTTAAATATTGTCTTTTGAAACTAAAATATTAAGATTTGAATTATAAACTGTGTTTTGGTGCAAAGCTTATTGATATAAATTGATAATGAAGCTGTTTAATTAAATTTTGAATATAGCTTTGTGAAACGGTCATGACATGCACACTTTGACTACCCAAATCCCTAGGGTTATATTGATATCGATGGTGTCCAGTTATAGAAAATGGTGAAATTTTACCTTCACCAGCTGCTTTCAAATTGACAGTGTGGACTCATTTTAGGTTTGTTTGCATTTGAAATGACACTATCTGATTGATGGCACATCATTATCACCACAGAAAGAAATTGGAGATTGGCATGTAAAGGAAAGTAAGACACCTCGTTCAAAATTATCTCCATAGTGCATTTCATATGCAAAGACGTGTTTATGCATTTTTTTGGAAAAATAACAGATTTCAAAAAATGATAAATACTTTGAGCCAAGACGTACTCTTTCTAAACATTGTTACATGACTGAACTTGCTGTTTCTGAATAACACTAGCAGATTAATGAACAGGTTATGCAAGAAATTTTTGCAGCAGAGAGGGTAGTGCTCACTTGTGATAGTTGGACCTCACAAATGACAGAATCATATTTGACAATTGCCAGTCATGACATATCTGCAGATTTGGAACTGGTCTCGCATGTTTTGCAGAATGAATTTTTACTTGCGCACCAGTATCAAGGCAACGTGTGCCATGTGCCACCTAGTTTTTTTTTTTTTTTTGGGGGGGGGGTCATAAAACATCAACCCTTTTGAATCATTAGACCACTTTGCAATGCTACCAGTTGGTTATTTGGGCTTTAGGCCTATCAACTGCCAGGGTCATTAAGGCTGTCAATGTCTTGACTGGAATAATTAAGTGTGTGGCATTTGATTGGTTATTGTTTGGCTGCACAGCCTAGAGGAAACACTAGTCACTACATATCTGCAGATTGAGAACTGGTTTCTCATGTTCTTCAAACAATGACTTTGCTGGAAAGCCGTATTGATGTTAATATTGCAGATTGCTCAAATCAACTATAAACAAGTGAAACATTGCAGGCAAAGACACTGCTATAGTGATTAACAATGGCACATTTCTCTCAAAGTAAATTATAAAAAGTGGAAAAGATATTAACACAAAACAGACATAGCCTGCACAGAAGGCCTTGTCAATGTGCTAAAAAAGTAATGAAGATTGCCACAACTGTTATGTCCAAAGAAAAGATCCTCACATTGCCCATGATGATGACTCACAAGTTGTTAAGGGCATTAAAGACACAATAGCACAAGACCTAGAGAAGAGTTATATGAATGAGAAAAACACTGCATATTGTTTAAGCCCTTGATCCTTGCTTCAGAACCTTGCCTTTCCTGTTCAGAACCTTATAGCACTGACATCCATGCAAAAGTGACAACTGAAGCTGCAAGACCGTGGGAGTTTCATAAACAGGTAGGCTAATATGTTACTCGGAACTTATATGTAAATAGTTTTGTATTGTAAAACATAAATTACACAGGCCTGCGAATTTACACTTCATAAAAGTTGTTTTGATTTTAATAACATATTTTCCATAATTCAGCTATTCAGATTACGAAAATAATATTAATTTTTTTCTAGCACGTAAGGATTTTTTACAAATCGGGGAGAAAAATAAAACTTACTTTATCAATTTATTATTTTATTTCCCACAGTGAACGGGGAAGAACATTGATGTCAAATGAACATGCATCTTGATGTTTTTTGTGAAATCTACGTCTTTTAGTCTCAAAATTATGTTTTGCTTTATGACATTTTGTAAAAAATGTGTACGTGATGGAGAAAAATGGATATAATTTTCGGATTCGGCAGTAATTACTGCAGAACATTTAAAAATTTCAAGACAATAAAACCATCGCAAGCCTGTGTTATTAGTAAATATCTCATGAGTTTAAGCTCTCAGTTTTTTTTTTAATGTTTGCATTTCAACAGCAACTGATTTGTGTGCTGCTGAGCTGGTGCTCAGCCAGCCTCGAGAAACCCACTTTGCCAAGTACAAAGGACCTACTCTAGACTTACAGTGAACCCACATCAACCTGATAATGCTGATCCTGATGAGCTATCTTGCTACTATTGCAAGAAAAAATCCAAGACTTCTTGTGCACTTGCAGATTTGTTTGGAGATGCATTTAGTGTTCAAGCATCTGAGATGCTAAAATCTTCTTCAGACTGGGATCATAAAATATATACACAGCGTGGTCATAAGTAAATAGACACCACCTTTTCAGAAAAAATGAAAATTTTCAGTCATATTCACATG